ACTGGGCAGATGCCAGCGGTCCCTGCCCTGCAGGTGGGCTATTGCCCAGGCCGTAGTGGAGCTCTCGGGCTCTATCCGACCCTGGGCTTTCTGCCCTCAAGTCCCTCTTGCTCTTGGGTGCCTGAAAGGAGTGGCCCCTGGGCTCGGACACTAGAGGCAGGAGGCCCCGCTGTTCAGCCTGCGGGGATAGCTCGTTTTTTTTGGACCGGATAGAATATTTTTTCAGGCCCCAATCCCTTTCTTGTTTGGCCCCGTGGGTGGTCCGATGTCCTCAGGGGTTGTGAGTGGGGTGGGTAGGATAGCCTGCCAGGCAGAGCCTCTCCAGGGTCTCCCACTGAGGTTTGGATTTCCTTTTGGAAGAAGGACCCAGGACCTCCATGCTGGAGTGGAGAGGGATCCAGGGTCCTGCCCCAGACCTAGAAAGGGTCTGCCTGTCCTGAGGCGCTGCAGGAATTTGGCATGCCCACTTGCTCAGAACCTTCCAGTCCCCTGACTGGGGGCTTTGGGGTTTGGGTGACTCTGGCTTCTTCCTGGCTCCAACTCCAGGCCAGACGCAGCGGAAGGCAGGAGTGGTGAGAGGCAGGGTACAGTGCCCTTCTGGAGCTGGGCTCGGAGGGTCTACCCGGTGCAGCCTGCACCCCAGTCCTTCCCAGGGTCCTTGCAGGCTAGGTGCATCTGTTTGCACACCCTCCTCCAGTGTCAGATGCCTTAGTCCCTGGGGTGGGGTGGGGGGGCTGGGACTCCTTTTTCCTTGTGTCAGATGTGTCTTGCTTGGTACCAGCTCCCCCAGGGCCTGTCCTCTGCAAGGGTGGGACTGTGCTTCCAGGACCCAGGAAGCTGGGAAGTCCTCTGAAGCCCTGGCCCCTCTCTGGTATCTAGAGGCAGAGACTGCAGCCTGCTCTCCCCGCTACCCCGACCCCGGGAGCTAGCGGTCTCTGGGACCCAGTTCCAGCCATTTAGGTGTGGCCTCTGAAGGGGACGCAGGGGGGGAGCCCCAAGGGACTTGTGCTTTCCGTGGGCGGCGCCCCTCCTCCACCCTGCCTGGCCTCATCCTTGTATTTAATGAATTAAAGCCATTTTTTAAACCCTGCCCCAGAGTCTTCTGTGGTTTGTTCCCTTGGAGGGACCCCTGCTGGGGGCCCTCTGAGGCTTGCTGCCCTGCCCGCGGGGAAGCTGAGGCAGGGCTGGTGCGGGGCTTGGTGGTGGTCTTGCAATGCGGCTCCCCGCAGCCCTGGGGCCCAGGGAGGGGGCCTGCTGCAGTGCGCACTGCGCAGTCACCCACGCCGTGTGCAGCTGCGCCCCCCGCCCGCCCGCCGGGTTACCTAGCAACGAGCACGGTGACTCGACGCCCGCCGGGGGCGTCAGCAGCCTGCCCCCTTCCCCTTCCGGCTCTGGTGGGGCGGTGAGGGCCTGCGCTGCACCCCATGCGTAGGCGAGACGCTCCTCCCCGGAAGGCCCCTCAGGAGCGCCCCACTTCCCCATCCGTGCCCCCCCCCAGGTTCCTGGGGCCCGGTCATCCTGCCGCTCAGGTACTGAGTGCCTGCAGTTTGCCAGCTTCCCACTGGGAAGTGGGGGTGGGTGCCGGGTGGAGGCCTAGTGCCCCCGTGGGCACCGAGCAGCCGGTGGGAACTTGAGCCCCTCCCTGGGAAAAGATCTCAGCCCTGGCCTCCCCCGCGCACCTGCCCTCTTCTGAGTCCCGCCCAGGCGAGGCGCTGGCCCGCCACCTGGTGACCACCCTTGGTACTGCGCAGCTGGCGTCCACTTGCCTTAACTCTTATGCAGGGTCCTTCCTTGGTACCGGGGGTCCCGCCCGCTGCGCCGGCTCTTTACCTTTATGGAGGACAGCGGCCCTGACGGACGGCCTCCCCTGGCTGCTACTCACTCGTCCCCAGTGCTGCAGACAGCCCGGACCTCGCAGCCCTCCAGCTCCTGCTGGACCTCTCCCTAGGGGCTGGGCTCCTGGAGCGAGGGCTGCACGCCGGGCTTTGGACCCTCCACGTGGCCCAGAAACACCACCATTCCTTCTTTTTTCTTTTTTTATAGTTGGAAATGGACAGAATGCCTTTACTTTTTACTTGCTTATTTTATGTGGTGCTAAGGATCGAACCCAGTGCCTCACACATGCTAGGCACGCCTCTGCCACGGAGCTACGGGCTTTGAGTGGCCTCTGGACCCCTGGCCCACGTGGGTGACCCCTCCTACCCCCATCTCCTGTGTACTCCATTCCCGCTCACCGGACTGCTTCCAGGCCCAACCCATGCTTGTCCACCCACACTCCCTGACCAGCCCCAGCCTGGTCCTTCCCTCGACCCCACACAAACAGGTATCCCCCGCTTCCTTCGGCTGTCCCTGCCATGTCCCCCACTCTGTGTTGTCTGTGGCAACCCCATCTCCACACCCGTGGGCCTTCTGGACTGGCCGTTCTTTTTTCTTTTTGTTCTTCTGTGGTGCTGGGGGTGAAACCCAGGTCCCTGCATGTGCTACATAAGTGCTCCACCAGTGAGCTGCACCCCAGCCCCCATTTTTAAAAAATACTTTTTAATTGTCCATGGACCTCTATTTTATGTATTTATGTGTGGTGCTGAGAGTTGAACCCTGTGCCTCACATGCCAGGACCCCCGCTGACCCCAGCCCCTTCGTTTGTTTGTTTGTTTTGGTTGAGCCACGTCCTGCCCTCTTTTAGAGTCCGGGTCTCACTGAGCTGCTTAGTGCCTTGCTTTTGCTAAGGCTGGCTTTGAACTTGTGATCCTCCTGCCTCAGCCTCCCCAGCTGCTAGGATTACAGGCCTGCACCACCGCGCCCAGCCCCCCGCCCCCACCCCCACCCTTTATTTTGAGACAGGGTCTTGCTGAGTTGCCCAGATTGGCCTCAAACTTGCGATCCTCCTGACTCAGTCTCCTGAGTCGCTGTAATGACAGGTGTGTGCCACCGCACCCACCTGGACTCACCTCTTGTTACTGCCCACCTCCAGTGCACTTTGAAGTCTCCCCTGTGCTCTACCTTCAAAATGCATTTGGAGCTTGATCCCTAGCACCAAAACCCCACAAAATATACTCAGAATCCATCACTTTTTCCCACTTTTTCTTTGTGATACTGGGAATTGAACCCAGGGCCTCGTATATACCAGGCAAGTCCTCTCTCACCAAGCCACACCCCAACTCCTCTGCCCACTTTCAGGGATTCATCTGATCTGGTCCCAGCATTCCTCACCTAGACCAGAGTTAGCACCTCTGCCCAAGTTCTGTGGTGCCTCCAGTGTGTCCTTCCCACAGTAGCCACCAGAGGGCCTGTGAGCACCCAGGTGAGGTCCTCCTGTGCCTTCAACCTTCCCTGGTAACCGCCTCTGGTGGAGTCAGAGCCCAAGTCCCCCCCCATGGTGCACCAGGCCCCCACGACCTGACCTGCCTCAGCCTCTCCCTGCCTCCCCTCCTCCCTTCCTAACCCTTGCTGCCTTTGCTGCAGCACAAGTGCCCCCAAAACCCCAGGCCCAGGCCTGTGTCGGGCCTGGGCCTGGGTTGTGCCCTCTGCCTGGAACTCTTTGCCAGATCTTCTGCGTGCTCTTCCCTTCCCTCCATCTAGGTCTCTGTCTAAATACCACTTCCTCATTGAATTCCCTTACCCTAAACAGGAATTTCTGTAAGGAAGATATACAAATGGCCAGTCTGCCTGCGAAAGGATGCTCAACAGCACTAAACCACAGGAAAGTACAAATAACCACCACAATGAGAAGCCACTTCCAGAATGGCACTTCTTCAAGGTGAATGTAGATAACGTGTGGCCCAGGGAGGCCTTTCCTAAGTATCCATCCAAGAGAAATAAAAACACGTGCAAAGACTTGTACACAAACGTTCAAAGCAGCATTGTCTACAACAGCTGAAAAGTAGAAGCTACACGAATACCCATACTTAGATGAATGGATAAACAATATGGCCCACCCCGCACCAGAATATTACTCAGCCATGAAAAGGAACCAGGCTCTGACACATGCTATAACATGAAAGAAACTTTCCCAATGTAACTATTTAAAGCGCACAATTCAGAGGCATTAAAGAGCATCACTGTTGTGCAAACACAACCATCCTCTGTCTCCAGAACTTTCTCATCTTCTTAAATTGAAACTGTCCCCATTCAGCACTAACTCCCCATGCTCTCCCTGGCATCCACCATGCTACTTCCTGTCTCTGTGGATCCGAGGGACCCTTGTGAGTGGAGTCCTGTAGTATGTTGTCTGGCTTATTTCATTGAGCATAATGACCTCGAGGTCCATTTTACAATCCCACCAAAATGCACCGGCTGTTCTTGCAAACTCCCATGAAGATGCGGGCTTAACCCAGGGGCCTGTGAGTCTCCCTGTCACGCCTGGTTCTGCTGCAAGGCCTGGTTTACAGTCGGTACCCAGTGTTTCCTGAACCTCTAGAGTGTACACAGGGGATTCCACTGCTGACAGGGTTCATGTAGGGGAGATTTGGCATTCACTGAGAGCCAACTGTACTCCGGGGCGGACTAGATTTTGAGTGGGCGCGGAGCGACGCACGCGTGGCTCTCCGCACAGCATAGGGAGACCTGCCCCGAGGACCGCCAGGTTTTCCAGCCGGCGCTTTTAGACTGTGCACTAACGAAATGCAAATGAAATGCAAATGACCGCAGCCAGGTCCCAAGGCGATTTCTCTAGTCAGGCGCGCCGTGGACAGCCCAGTCACCGCCGGGGGCCTGGGACCCAAGATGGCGAGGCTGTGCCGCGAAGGACCTGGCGCCAGCGCGGGAGCAGCTTCCAGAGGCCACGATCAGGGCCACCCACGCTCTCCAGCTCTCTTGTGTCCCGGAGCCGGGGCCCGCCACCCGCCGTGGCCTCGCGGCCGTAGGCCTTTCTGAACAGGCACGCCGCGGGCAGCCCCTCCCGGGGTCCCTTGCGGCGGCGTCCCGGGGGCCTCCGGGGGCCTCGGAGCAAGATGGCGGCGGTGGGGTCCGTGAGGCGCGGGCGGCGACGACCGCGGCGCCAGTGAGGGGCCCCGGGCGGCTCCGGGCCGGGGCCCCGCCGCGGGACGGATCATGCTACGCTCCACTGGCTTCTTCCGGGCTATCGACTGCCCCTACTGGGCGGGGGCGCCCGGGGGGCCCTGCCGGCGGCCCTACTGCCACTTCCGGCACCGCGGGGCCCGGGGGCCTGGCGCGCCCGGCGGTGGCGGAGCGGCGTCCGCCGCAGCAGGTAATGCTCGCTCGCCCGCCGGGTCTCGGCTCCGGGCCTGGGTCTGGACCGCACCGCCGGACCTGCCCGCGCCCCGGTTCCCCGCCCAGCCCCTTCCCCACACGCTCGCGGGCCGCGGCCCCCCCCGCCCGGCGTCCCGGGCGAGGGTCTGGGCCTCCCTGAGCCTCCCTGAGCCTCCCCTCCTGCGAGCCTCCTCTCCGGCAGCGGCGCTGTGAGCAACGGGCGGACGCGCCCTCCGGGCCTGTCGCGGGGCGGGGGAGGCGGGCCCGCGCCCGGCCGCCGGGCTTCCCGCCGCTCCCCGGCCCCGTGGGCTTGTGGCAGCCCTGTTCACGTCCAGGACCCGTCCCAGCCGCGCCTCTGGTGACAGCGCCTCTGGTGACAGCACCGCTGTTTCCAGTAGTTGTGTCCCGAGGGTCGTGGAGCACTTGCTGTCTGTCCAGCAAACAGGGAGTAAGTCAGAATCCACTTGGCTGGGACGGGCGCGGCCTTCCAGGGAGTGCCCTGCTCTTCGTTGGGCAGAGGACCTTGGTGGACTAAGTGTTGTACCCTCCTGTCATGGCAGCCTTTGAGCGCTGCGAGGGGTCAGCAGGGTCTCTGGTGAGAGGTGGGAGATGAGGTGAGACTTGAGGCACTGTGAGGATTCGGCGCAGGCGCAGGCTGGGAGCCGGGATCCAGCATAGTGTGGTTCACACTCCTCCTGGTGACCTCTGTCTCTGTGGAGTGGCTGTCCCCTTCCCTCGGGTCCTTATTTCTTCAACCACAGGTTTCTTCATCCAGCGTTGTTTTCAGACATGTCTCACATTCTCCTTAAGGTAGTGATTTTTGGGCTAAGGATCTTCTGACTTAAAAAGAGGAGCACTCTTGCTAGGTTAGATCTTGGATCTGTTTTCCTTTGTCAGAGAAAAGAGAATGGTTTTCCATTTCTCAAGTTTCCCATGTAGCTCTGCCAAGAGGACCCACACCTGCACCCAGCAGTCTGCAGTGCATTCCTGGTCCAGCTCTGCACCTGACACTTGGTACCCTTGCTGGGCCAGAGGTGATGGATTCAGAGCGCCATAAGATGCAGGTCTCCTCTCAGGAACTTGCTGTTGAAGAGGAAAGTTGGTGTGCCCACAGATACCGCAGCCAGAGGTGGGGATGGCTGGGGAGTGCATATGGGAGGCTTCTCTGTGGCCATGAGGCTCAGTGTAGTTTCTTGACTTCATTTATGTTCTTGCTGATCTTATGTGATGTTCTGCAAGAGCAGCCTGACTTAGTTTTCTCATTACTCCCTCAATCCACAGACATCCTCATTGTGTGTGTGTGTGTGTGTATGTATGTGCGCATACAATTCTAGGGGTGGGATCCAAGGCCTTGTACATGCTGGACAAGCACTCCACCCCTGAGCCACACCCCGCTGTTTTGGCTTTCTGAGTCCTCCGGGCATTGCTTTCCAGCCTTCTGAAGTTAGGGGTGTTGATTCCTCAGGTTGTCCCTTTGTGCCATGACAGCCTTTTGGTAAGTTTCTTTTGTTTCCCAAAAGGCCATTTCTTTGAGTTTTTTTGGTGATGTTCTGTGTGCCCCACAGTCCTACGGGGAAACGTGTCTGCTTACCCGGCCAGCTGCTGCATTTCCTTTTTGCTGGTGGAGAATGAATAGCCTTGTTCCAGTTTCTGGTAGGGAGGAAGTGTCCCTGCCTTCTAGAAGGCACCTTGCCCCACCTCAGTTCAGCCTTCACTTTGTTGGCTTGTTGTTGTTTTGGGTACCAGGGATCAAACCCAGGGGCACTTAACTACTGAGCCACATCCCCAGCCCTTTTAATTCTTTAAAAATTTGAGACAGATTCTCACTAAGTTCCCTAGGGTCTTGCTAAGTTGCTGAGGCTGCCCTTGAACTTCCGATCCTTCTGCCTCAGCCTCCCGAGTCACTGGGATTACAAGAACACTGAAGTGTCTGCCTTCAGGTCAGCCTCTTTTGCCCAGCCTTGATAGTGTCCATCTGGACTCTGTAGAAGAGCAGAGGAAGAGGCAGCCCTTCTGCTGCCCTTTGCTTTTACCCAGCAGGTGTCAGTTCCTTGTGATTTCCATTTTGGTTTTTGAGCCCCTATTTTTTGCTAAGCACTTTTGTGTCCAACTTTGCTTCTGCAACAAAAGACAGAACAAACTCATGTCCATGTTCACTTGGCCTCTCTGGGGGATTCCATGTGGACAGGGCAGTGGCTTCCCGGAACTGAGAGCAAATGGAGGTAGAAGTGTGAAGCCAGCATCCACCCTGGAGCACCGTGGAGCTAGAACTGAGCTCAGCTGCTTAGATCACCATGGCCTTGAACTAGGTCCTCTGGGGAGAAACCAAAGCTGAGGGAAGGAGTGCCTTATCCCACAATGCTGGGTTTCTGTTGGCGACTAAAAGGCTCAGGGTCACTCCAGGAAAACTGGGCTAACTGGGCTGCGCAAAATAACCACACAAGAGACACAAAGACCTTTTTCTTTGGGGTCGCTGTGACGGCTCCTCTGACCTTAAGGGTCCGCAGGAAGAGAGAGCGAGAGCACACGCTGACCCCTTTTATTGAGGAAAAGCCATTCAAATGAGGCAAGGGGTCAGGTTTCAGGGGGCTGAGTCTGTCTTCATGATGTCCACTGTCAGCAGGATGACTGACACCTGGGTAGGCCACACCCAAGGGCACAGTAGGAGAAGGGGACACACACAAGGTACTTCCATGGAAGATTCTATCCTAAACAGGGCAAGGGGTTATATTACAAAGGAACAGGTGAGCATAGCTCCACCCATGGGCTGTAGCAAGACACACCCCTGCACTGTCCCTCGCACCCAAGAAGGGTGGGGAAAGCTCTGCCACGTTTCTGTGACTGAGCGCCTCAGCACCCAGCCGGGGAGTGTGACTCAGTCACGTGTGAGGTTGGTCTCCCACACCACAACATACCAACAAGGCTGGGCTTGGGACCTCAGGGAGCTGTGGGCTATCTGAGGTGCGGGGGACTAGGTATTGACTGGGGCTCTGAGACAGGCAGGAACTGGCCTTGGGATGGCAGCATCTGGAGCTCTGACTTGAAGGGCAGGTGAGAGTACTCCTGGGTCAGAGGGACAGTGGCCATCCTCTGAGTATTGAGCTCTTTTAGGACTGGGCTGGGGGGGGGGGCAAGAGACCCACCTGACTTGTGGGAACACTTGCTCTTTGAAAGTTGAGTGTTCCTTGGAGGAACTAAGCCCTGTATCTCCAGGGATGCCCAGCCAGGCAGGGCTGAGGTCAGGGAGGTGGTGGTGTTTCTCTGCTGTCAGAGTGGGGTCTTCTTCCTCTGTGAGCTGGCTCAGAACAAGGAGTGGGGCCGGGCAGCAGTACCATCCCTAAGGCTGGGTCCCTTTGGGCTCTCAAGTGCATTGTAGGGCTGATATCCTGCCATCCTGCGTCCTCTTCTCAGAGACCTGACATGCTGGGCACTTCCAGGACCCAGTTCCTCCTGGAGAGATAACTACTTTAGACTCCCTCCCAGGGGAAGACCCAGTTCTTGAAGAAAACCCAGCAGAGGGCAGTGCTGCCACATTAGGAGGCTTGGCCAGGACCTGGGTGGGGGTCTTCACTAGCTGGTGGTCAGTGTCAGGTCAGCTTGGCCGCCTCCTTTGGGGTGGGAGCTATGGAGCCCATTGAAGGAGCAGTTGGTATTCTGGACGTCAAAGTCAATTTTCCTGGATAGGGAGGGCTGTGTATCGTAGGTGTGGAGCAACATCTCTGGTCTTCCCTTAGTTGATGACGGTGGTACTCCTGCCCCCCCCAGTCAGGACAATCACAGATGTCCCAGACACTTGCAAGTTATTTGATGGACAGAGTCACCCTGCTAGAGAACCCCTGGTTGTGTGTGGAATTTCTTGGGGCGGCCACTCTATTTTCTCTTTAAGCCTCTTCCTGCCCAGGGAACCTAAATCCAGCATGGCCAGGCCTGACTCCAGAGGCCTGGGACACAGCTTTACCCCGCCTAGTGGAAGAGCCACTGGTCTGACCTCACTGCTGGCTGGCTCTGGGGTTCTATCCCCATCTGTGGAAGCTGGGGTAGAGGTAAGGCACCAGGCACCCTGTGAGCATGGCAGGGCCCAAGCCTCCCTCCCGCAGCTGCACAACACAATGTGGGTTGGCTGCCTCTGTTGACCCGGTGCTTTTACTACCCTGGACTGGGCCTGACATTCATTTTAGAAATGCTAGGGAGCACAGAGAAGTCAAAATGCTTCTTAATTGCCACAGGACGGCTTTGGGTTTGGTGTCTCTGTAGAGTAGTCATGAGCATGCCTCACACGTCGCACTGGATTCTGTTGTTTTCTGAGGAGTTTCCCTACTAGGGCCCCCCTGGACAGCCGGGGGGGCTGTGAAAACTGCCTTCTTGGCCCTTCCCAACCTGCAGTGGGACGTCCTGGCTTGGGCTTTTAAAATAAGACTTCCTGCACAAGGTCACTTGGAAATCTTAGGGTCCTTTGCTTAGTGTGGATCAGTACAGCTGGGATCTCAAACTGCAACCCTGCCTCCCTGGTGAGTCCTGGGCCATGTCTGGGGACATTTGTGTCTATTACAACTATGGGAACTCCTGGTCTGGAGTGGATAGAGGCCAAGGTTGCTGCTCAGCACCCTACTGTGCCCAGTGCCAAGAGGACACCTTGTTCCAGTATGCCAGCATCTGGCCAAGGGCCTGTAGAGGCAGCAGAAACCATGAAAACACTTTCTGTCCCCCAGCCCTTGTGCTCAGGCTGGGGCCTGCTAGGGTCGGTGGAACCACCTGTCTGCTGGGAGTTGCCTAGAGGACCTGCAGGTCCTGAGTGCTCACCCAGTCCCAGCCCTCACAGCTCTCCTCCTGCTCCAGGGACTCCAGAGGAAAGGAGGTGTGGCCCTCAGCGACCACAGAGATAGTCGAGTCCCAAGTGAAGGTATCTTAGCTTGGCTTCTTGTGGTGGAGGGCCTAGCTAGGCGGGGAGGTGGGCCTGTTCCTTGCCTTGGTTGTCTCCTGCTCAGTGGGCATGCAGCA